ATTTTTGTCATTAAATGTTGCTTATATTACGTAATAATATGAAATATCGACGAGGTACGATTTAGGTGACCAGTACGCATTCAGCAACTTTCCCTTAATTTTACAAAAGTAAGAAGGATGTATGAATATGTATGGACACATATTTTATATATAATTATTCATATTTATGAATATTTATATACGTGTTTATGTATGTTTATACATATATCTATACATTTTCATGCATGAAACATTTTTTACCGGGATGATATTAATATTATATATTATTATTATGATTAGTACCCAGCAAACACATCGTTTTATATTATTTTTGTATATTAATATATGTATATATTATTATATATGATGGTCGATGACAGCTAAGTAAGAGACGTTTCATCTATAATCTCTAATATTAAACTTAACTATTAAATATACATCTTTATTTGCTCGTTTATAGGCTTTTTTTATTTTTATACTGTTTTAATACATACGATTTAATTTCTCTTTTTAATTTTAATGTAAATCGTTGTACCTGTGTCGCGATGGAGTCATCAAAATTGTATAGAAATCTACAACTGAGATTGCTAAGGTGACAGGTGATTTCGTCATTCCAAACATTGCTAAAGTTGCTGCCGCAGGTACCCGCCTCATCATTAACAATTCCAATCTTCAAATCTTTTGGATCATCGCCAATTGCCATAATAAATGCGAAGATTTGAATTATTGGAAATATTATTGCGAAAACTAATCCTCTGAAAGAATATTATTATTATTGAAATCAAAGCCTTAAACAGTTTAGCCTTGGTAATCTAAAGGCTTAGGACGCTCGCACGGAATGCAAGAGATCCGGGTTCGACTCTCGGCCGAAGTAATATTTTTCGCAATAAGAATTAATTATTTACAGATTTTAATATGTCATTCAACATTATTAAGATCGTTTCGAAGATGTAAATAAGTATCAAAAATTTATTAAATTGCTAGTCAATTTAACTCATGATATTGCTGCAGTAGTTTAATAGAGTTAGCGTTTCAAGACCGAAAAATCATTTCGGCGCACGTTTCTGGGGACTACACACGTAGTATATAAATTCACATAAGAATCATACAAGCATTAAGATCGAGCTAGACCGTTTAAGGCTTTGATTTCTATAGTTTGTGTTATCACATATACGGTCCTATAATATATTATATTGATTATTATTATTATTGTTAAACGTGGAATTATTTGATAAATTTTAATTTTTTTAAATATAATATTTCGTACATATCAACGATTCAATGTACAAATATAGAGAAGATAATTGCAAAATTTGAAAATAAAACAGTAGAAATTTGGTTTTATATAGATAAAAAAGTGTATAATAATTTATTAACAACGATCAACAATTAATTGTTATCGCAGAATTAATTATTGATAAATTTATTGATAATTACCCATAATAACGAAAATATTGCATGCCGTTCTTCGTCAATAGAGCTTTGAATATTTTTAATCGTGAAATTTGACGTTTCGAAACCTCTTTGTATTCCGAGATTACCTTAACAATTCAAATTATTTGAAGCATACAATAATACAGATTTACATGGCTTTTCACAACAATAAGAGCATAAATTATTTCTATATACATACTTTTGTTCGTTCATATTCATTTTGAGACAAGACGTTGCTGTTGGTATCTTCTACTTTGAATCTTTCAACTTTATTATTCAAAGTATTATTCTGTACCTCGCACAGTTTCAGGAAAGCCTCCTCCAAGAACGAGCATTGAAATCGCTCCAGTAATTTTTGCGGCGCCGATTCCGCCAACAATTTACCACATCTCATCAAACCAATCTGCGCAACATTCAAGAATGAATTTGTATCATTGAGTATATAAAACAAGATTCTTCTTAAATTAAAAAACATTTTTTCAAAGAAATTTATATAAAGGCTAAATAAGCCAATGCACGTTGTCGGTGCCAAAAGAATATATTGTTATAATTTACAAAAATCTTCCATACGTTTCGATTTTCAACGGAACTATCTTCATAAATTATATTATGGATACATAAATTATATTACATACGTTGTTATCATCTTACGTCTGTTCCTCGTCGTTCTATTAACATAAAAAATTTATCGCAATTACTTCATGTTAGAACGTATTTGGAGTGATGATCCTTAATTATATCGAGTGAACATTCTTATGTAAATTATGGAGGTATTGGCTAAGGCTTAGAACATATGAGAATTGCCGGACCGACAGGACGAGAGCTTAAGTCGCGTATTCACCTAGCGAACGAACACCGAACGAACAGCAAACGTAAAAATTTGTATTGTTGTTTGCTACATAAAAGTCGCACAAGTTTAATTGCTACATGGAACGAACATCGAATCTGGTTGAATACCAGTATTCCGTACAATCGAGAAAAAGAATAAACTGCTCACAAATATAAACACTAATATCCGAACATTCGCGTTCGGTGTTCGTTCGCTAGGTGAATACATGGCTTAACATGTCTGAGCCATTCCGCTGACATATAAGCTTTCGTCCTGTCGGTCCGGCAATTCTCATATGTTCTAAGCCAATACCTCCATAATTTACACAAGAATGTTCACTCGATACGATAGGGATCACCATTTCGAATGTGTTCTAACACGAAGTAATTGCGATGAATGTTTTATGTTAATGGAACGACAAGGAACAGACGTAAAAGATGATAACAACGTATGTAATATAATTTATGTTTCCACTGAAGATAGTCCCATTGAGAACCGAAACGTATGGAAGGTTTTTGTAAATTGTAATAATATATTTTTTTGGCACCGACAACGTGCATTGGCTCATTTAGCCTTTATATGAATTTATTATTGAATTATTAGTTCTAAAAGTTCTGAGCTTCTAAAATGTTGTAATTTTTTTAAAGCTTATAAAATATTTTGCAGCAACTTCTTTACATTATTAGGACTAATTTGCTAGAAACAAGACTCACTTTATTAGCATCTTTAGTTTCTTCGATGTAGTGCGTCGTGATTAGCACAGTGATACCTTCCTTTTGCGTGATTTGGATCAAGTAGGCCCAAATGCTACGAATAAAAAGGACGTTTAAACATTTTTCTTTTATTTTATGCTTATGTTTAAAAAGAAAGTAAAATCTACTTGCTTCTCCCTTAAAATTGGGTCTAAGCCCACAGTGGGTTCGTCCAGGATTAAGAGTTCGGGCCTATGGATCAATGCGGCAGCAAAGGAAACCCTTCTTTGCTGACCTCCACTCATGTTCTTCACTAAGCGATCCGTTGGGGGTAGTTGGAGCAAATCCGAAAAGAACTTCTGTCTTGTCTCTTAGAAATAACATAGAGAAGCTAATATAGATTGTTTCGAAATAATTTACGGTGTGAAATATTTTGCGTAGAGAGCAAGCAATTCAAAATAGAAACTGAAACTGTTTGAAAGATGTTTATTTAAAGGTATTTTGTAAAATCGAAACTTTTCGGAGCATATTTGCAATTTTTCGCGTGCAATGAGAATGTCTTTTTTCCTATCCATCCTACGTCTTACCGATCTCTTCATCGTCGAGCCCGTTGATCCTGCCGAAATAATATAAAGCACCGTTCACAGAGAACTCTCCGACCAAAGAGATCTCTTGCGGCATGTAACCCACTCGAGGTCCGGGGATGCCAGAGCCCTTGCTGCCCGGATTCCCCCCCAAGACCCATATCTCTCCACTATCAAGATATCGAACCCCGACGACGCAGGACAGCAGAGTGGTTTTGCCGCATCCGCTCGCTCCCAACAATCCATATCTATTTAAAGGAAGGATTTCGTTTATACGCTTTATCTTATTTTAGACGATACATTCGAACGAGAAAAGAGGGGCACATAAAGTAGTAAATATTTCCTTTAATTTCACAATAAAAAACAGCTTCATAATCGTTTTTCAGTATGGATTCTCTTTCGAAATCAACTTATCAGCCAATTTATTTACTCACGTTCGCACTTCATCGAAGAACAATGGCGGTTATTGTTTCCCTTGTGATACTGTAATTAGTCTGAACTGTTGGCAAGACCGACTTGTTAATAAAGTGTTGGTCACAATCTCATAGCTTTGATTATTAAATTCGCGCGAACATAACGATCATTCGTTGGCAAAGGCAATTAGCCTAGTACTAATATCACACAGTGGTGCCTAAACAGTGATCTAAATTTGAATTTTTTAAAATTTGTTTGGAGAACGTACAGATATCTATATAACATTAATATCAGTCCGATGTAACCATGTAATATGAAAATATAGAATTTTAAGAGAAATTAGAAAATATTTAACTATATCTATCAAATCTTTATTATTCACGTAATTTTTCTGCAATATATAAATACTTGTATATTTATAATCTCGAATTAACAGTTATATATATATATATATATATATATAAAAGAGTAACAAAACAATTATTCCATTTTCCGAAATAATTAAAATGATGCAAAGATGCTTTTAGGCACCACTGTACGATTTTCGCGAGATCGTGATATGGCGGGCGAAAGATATCGCCGTCCGGTGCACCTAATAAAATCATCAAGCAAACCCACAACTCACTTCAGTCTCGTTGTGTCATGATGATTATTAGTATCATCACGATCCTGCTACTCACAAGAGGAGTTTTCTCCTCTTTACCAGTCAAAGGATTGATATCGATGATACGTGACAATACAATGTTGATCGATCTACGCGCGAACAAATTGAGCGATTTTGGTGAGTTGATTGAAAAACTACAAGGAATAGAGGAACCGCAAGTCCGTATCATAATTAATTTGGAAAGGAAAATTATTGAGATAAATGGCAAAACTGATTTTGAAGAGGATTATTTTAGTGAGTTGATTTGCTTTTAATAACTAGATATATTTATCAGATGTTTTTTTAATAACAAATTCTACGGTCAATTTAGAGTAATTGTTTTTTATTAAAAACATTAATATATCAATTTTTTTTAAATCATAAAAGTCAAAGAGGAAAAACTTTTCTGGAATTAAATTTCGGAAAATTAAATGAATAAAAAAGATATATTCTCTTCTCTCTCTCTTTCTCTCTCTCTCTCTCTCTCTCTCTTCCTCTCTAATTAATTTTGGGAGTCTTTTATTTTACGTTTTTATTTTAAGAAACTTTTTATTTGACATGTAATATTACAAAGATTATATAATGCACAGTGTATGCTATTACAAAGATTATGTAATGCACACAATTAACATTAAATAGAAACCTCGGTGTTTTTGTTACGAAAAAAATTAACTTTAGGTATTTAAAGAATTTGTTATAAAAAGGATATTTTCGATTATTTTGAGATACTCTTATGTATATAAGTTAAAATATATAAAGAATTTTTACTAAACTTTACCCTATTAATGAATTCAATTTTTTTCAGAGGTAAAATTCAACAAAGTGACTTTGAAGTTAACATAATCGACGAATAGTCTTATAAATACAAGAAAACTTTACCAAACAGAATATTTTGAGAAACAATGATTTCATAACAAAGAGCATCATATTATGATATATTCATATTTCATAAACAAATTAGTTGATTTATTAGTAAATTTGTTTTATGTGTAACTTAGAATATTTGTATAGAATATTTGCATATGCATAGAAATTTATCAAAAGATTAAATTATTAAACTGTATAAATTTAATCTTTATGAATAGTTAAACGTGACACTTTTTGTATAGGTCAGAAATAATGTTCAAAGTATGTTGCGACGCGTGGCATTGCTGATGCAAGAATATGGCAACAGCTATAAAAGATTGACTCATCAGAATTCAAACGCCTATGAAATTTTGCGACATGTTATTATACCTCAAGATCAGGACTCTATAAACCTTGATGAAAATGATTTTGCATTGTCTTGGGTGATCTCTAATCTCGAATTTGCAATGGAAATGAAGAGATTAATTTCAAAAAATGAGTTGTCTCTTGAATATACCAAGTCGATTTTATTGTGGTTGATCAAATTGTTTGATTTAAAATGGCAGCAATTTTACGATGATCTTGATTATATCTCAAAATGGCAACTTTTGAATTTAAAAAGACAAGCAGAATTTTTTTTAGAAAATTTAGCTACAAATAATCAACATGAGAAATTGAAGGATGATAAATATATTTCAGAAGATGGAAATAACAGTGAAAACACTGAAAACGTTGAAGAAATAATCTTAACTAAACAGAATAAAGACAATCTTATTGAAACTAAGACTAAAATAAATATAAATAAATTTCCAATGAATACATCGAGTGACACATCTAAAATAGAAACACAAATTATGAATCATCAGGAATTAATAAAACGTACCGAAGATGATACTAAGAATCTCACTATTATACCAATCAATCAGGAATTTACATTAAATACTCCTACCGATATTAAGGACACTTCTGTCATTAATGACACATTTTTTTCTGAGATAAAAACATTTCGAGATGAAGATCTCATCAAAAACAAAACTGTCTCAAAATTAAAAGAATTCATAGATATTCGTCATGACGAGCATATGAAAGATCATGGAAAACAGTTTAATCAACTAAACAATATTTCTTCAATTTTGCCAAACGAGAACATTACAAGCACTTTGCAAGAGATTGATCAACGAAATTTTGGAACAGATGTTACATTGCAGGGATCTTTGAAAAATATAACAGACATCCGAAAAATTCCTTTCCGAAGAACACTTCAAGTTCTTACTCCTTCGAATAAAAACGAAAAACAGAAAAATAAACACGTGTCAACAAAAAATATCTCTGACAAGCATCATTATTTTAATAAAAGGAAGGAGATAAAATCAGACAATGGCTCGGCGATGGACGAGATTCTAGAGGCAGTGGATGAAGTCTTGCCAACGGATAAGTCTATAGAAATGTCACCAAAAGGATCAAACACGTTTTCTCGGATATTCTAATTTCAGTCAAGCATTATAATTGAAAGAGAATTTCACATATATTTTTTAGGTAATATGTTGATAACATGTACGACTAAGATCTTTAATAGTTACAAAAGACTTTAATAGTTACAGGTTATTAAATTTTAATTAGACATGTAATCAAGTTTTTTAGCTTATTCATGCCTTTAAATAAGAATTTTTTGACTCGGAAATTATGAATATAGTCATTATCCAATAAAAAAAATATATTAAGAGTTAACAAACAGTATCTGAAATCGCGTTATAAGACGTTTTTTGCGTCTAAAAGACAACTTAAAGACACCGTATATCACAATTTTAAACTTTGTATTGTTTGGAAGGTTTATTTATTAACTTTTTAGTATGCTTTGAGATTTGTACACGGTTTTTTAAATATTGCACAATGCTAAATAAGTATATCTCTGACGCGTTTTCATTTTTTTACAAAAACTTATTTTTAATAAATTTAACAAATACTTGTTTAACCAGCGATTTGAAAAGCGTTATGATAAATTACAATGAAATACTTTTAGAAACTAAATACAAATTTGAGATAAAATTATAATGATTCTAATAGGTTCCGAAAGATTTTCTTATCTAAATATTCGTTAGAAAGTTATATGATTATTCTGTCGTGTATTTTGCAAGCGGCGGCAATTTAAGCAATCGGTGAATGTACGCGGAAATGTGCGTGACGACAATTTCAGGCAATTTTCTACATATCGAAGGTAAAGAAATTAGTATCAGGTTGGGTAAAAGATATGCTGTATGTAGGTTTAAAAATCGCACGTGTAATCGCGAATTAATAATTTCATTGCATCGTTTTCTCTCCTATACAGCATCTTTTTAATTATTTCTTTTAAAAAAATTTGAATTATTGTTTGTTTACAACTCTTAAAAATGAATAGAAACAGAACTCATTTTTTTGCATTGACATATCAAAAACGGTTACTTACATAGAACCTCTTGAAACGGTCATATTCAGACCGTCAAGCACCAACTGTCCTTTCCCATAGCGCTTTATGGCGTTTCTTACGATCACTGCTTCTTGTTGCACCATTTTCCAAAATGATGATGAGTGTTTGATCAGCGATCGAGCTGTAACATTTTTTTCTCAAATGATCATATACTTATTTCTAATGACTCAATTAAGATATAACATTAAAGTTTGTTTTGTATAATTAGTCTATTATTAAAATATATTAGTGTTACTTTGCAAGTTCATAATTTTTTCTTTGCATGATCGTTTAATCAGTAATTTCACTAATCTATTATTTACATTTTTGAGTTTCAATATTTCGCTTATCTCTTGAGATTTTATCACTCCAAATTTTATATATGTGTCTTATTTTTTTGTAATAGCCTTTTCAAATCTTCTGGAGCGATTTTAAAGTGTTATTACAAAAAATAAGAGATATGAAATTACTGACATTTTATTAATTTTAACAGGAAGACAATTTTCATTTTGATAGTATGTATTTTATGATAACAATTTTTAACATTGATAGTTAATATAAATTTAATTGCAGTTCATGTGTCTTATATTTTTATTATGTCTTTGTCTTGTTTTACTCGATACTATTCTATTTTTGAAGAGGTTTTTACTTTTGCATTTTATACCATTTTTACACTGAGAAAAAATGGTGTTGATTCAATTAAAGTCTATATTACGGACTGTCACTAACATAAGTGATTAATTCATGTATATTTTTATTGACATAAAGGCATAAATTATTATTTCAATAATCAAGTCTTTATGTCAATAAAATATATGCATGAATTAATTACTTATGTTAGTGACAGCCCGTAATATAGACTTTAATTGAATCAACAGCATTTTTTTCTTAGTATATTATTATAGTTTTTGCGATATAATATTTTCTTATTTAAAATGATTCTTTGATAAATAAAGTAAAACGAGTTACCATAGAAACGTCTAATATTTTTATATAATGAAGTTGAAGTACCGAAATTGACATGTGCAAAATTCTACGGTAAGTTAATGATGAAATAAGAGAGAAAGAAAACGTTGAAAATATAACTTTTTTCACGTATAACTTAGTGACAGATAAGGCTCGCAGATACTTCTTTGACTAACTGCACACAAATCTTACCATAGACTTTTTTCAAAATCGAGATTATACTCTATAAGCGCAAAATATTTCTAAAATGTTACATAAATATTATTAAAAAATTAATATAAGTTATTATAATATTTCGAGGATACCATATAATATTTTTAATATTATGGGAGTATTCTATAGAGATTATATGTCCACTTATATAATACCTTATTATATCTTAACTTTCCTGAAATATTATTAAAATATTTATAAATATTAATTATTCTTAACTTAGTGCAATTTGAATTTACAATCCAGAAACGAAAAGTTCTTATCAGTTTATGCTGCATCTTGTGCTAAAAAACCGTTTTGGTGTGATTTTAAGTACATATCCAGTTCTACAATTGCGCGCCAAAATTGTTTTCAGTCTTTAAACGTATACTCCCAGTAAGCAAGAAATATTTCGGTAATATTGTAGCAATGTTACAACGTTTCTACAATGTTGCTGAAATGTTCCAAAATGTTTCTTGCTTACTGGGCTCATACTAACAGATGTAGCAGTTTTATAAGTAAATTTTGTTATAATATTTTTTAATATACAGGGTGGCCCGTTTTAATCGCCGCACCCGAATTTCTCGGAACGTAAGCCAGATAGGGAAAAACGGTTCAGACAAAAGTTGTCCAGATCGAAGGGGGCCATCTGTCTGTGCAATTAGTTTTGACCTTGAACTTAACTTTGAAGGTCATTTGAAGGTCAATATGATTTTGTTAAATGGGAACCCCAATTTTTGACACCGGATTCGGAAAGAGCGGAAAATTTTACTTCAGAAACGGTATTTGGAAATTTTTTTTATGACCCTTAGAAGGTCATTTCAAGGTCAAATATTAAAACATCCTGTGGCTGTTATTTGATTGCATTTTCTAATACATAGAATAATTGTCGTTAATGTACTTTTATGAGGAATATTCAACCCCAATGTGACAACGACCTTGAAAATATTGACCTTCAAAAGGTTGTCCTTACTTTTAGCGTTACCCAGAAACAACGACGTGGACGTAGTAAGTTCTGTTTCCTTTGGGGTGCTTTTTTACCGTGAGTCCCCTTGCCTCTCACTGCTCGGGGTGCTTGATTATGAGTGAGTCCCCTTGCCTCTCACTG